CTTAGAAACTACTGGGTAGTAGAAGAAATAAAAAATAAGTTTTAAAATCCCTTGAATCAGAGAATGTAAACACAACATACCAAAATTTTTGTGACAGGCAAAAGACATATTCAAAGGGCAATTTATAGTAATAAATGCACACATCAATCAATCAATAAAAGAACCAAAACTAACATCGCCAACAATTAGTAAAAGAGCAAACAAACAAAACAAAACAAAAAAACCCCCACAGTCACTAAAAGAAAGGAAATAATAAAGATATGAGGAGAAATAAATGAAACAGAAAAAAGAAAAATAGAAAGAATTATCAAGACTAGAAGTTGGTTCTGGGAAAGGTTTAATAAAATTGCCAAACCACTGGCAAATTTAACAAAGGAAAAAAGAAGACTCAAGTAACACAAATGAAATAGGCAATGTCACAATAGAACCAACTGAAATAAAAAAGGTAATGCGGTGTAGTAAATTACTTAGTGTGGCTTTTCTACCCATAAGTCTTTGTAAACTCCCAAGGTGGGAATTGCTATTAGCAACTGAGGAGAGCCTGATTGCTAAAGTCACCCACCTGGGTTATTTCTGTTGGGTGTGGCACAATACAATGTTCTGGGAGGTTCCCACTCTCTCACACGTGCTTAGAGTTCTGATGCTATGATTGGCTAGTTTGACCACTCTGCTGGGCTCAAAAGGAGGCTTCCTAGGGGCAGAACTCTCTCTGACTGCTGGCTGAGGAAGACATGCTGCTGAAAGAGACACGCGCCCCTGAAAGAGACACGCACCCCGAAAGAGACATGTGTTGCTGGGAAAGAGATGCAAGAGACACGCATTGCTGAGTGAGACACCGAGGGACCAGCACTGCTGGGAAAGAGACTGTGAGAGACTGTTGGCTGAGGGACGGTGGGCTGGGAGAGAGACTGAGCATTTTTCCTGAACTTGAGTTGTAGCCTGTGGTGCTTCCCTAATAAACCCCATAATCTGTGAGCTCTGTGTGGCCACTGCAGCGAATTATCGAACCCAGGAGAGAGGTGGTGGGTGCTTTGGGAGGAACGGTTGGAGAAAGGGCTGGAGGGAGGCAGCATGTCTGGCCTGGCAGGAATAGGCCTTGGGTTACTGCTGGTAATCCTGTCTTCCCTCTTGTGGGATTAGAGGAGGTCAGAACATGTGGCCTCCTTGTCGTTTTTGCAGGTAATAACAGAAATACTCTACCTATCCGAACTGACACAATCTGGAGTAGAGCATTTGAAAGGCCCCATCACTAAAGAAGAAACTAAACAGATCATAAAAAACTCCCACCAAAAAAAAAAAAAGAAAAAGAAAAACAGTCCTGGCCTAGACAGCTTCACTGGTGAATTCTACCAAACATTCAGAGGAACACTGACATTAATTCTACTCAAACTATTCCAGAACATAGAAAAAGGATAGAATACTGTTAAACTCATTCTACGAAGCAAGTATAATCCTGATACCAAAACCAGGCAAAGACATTACTAAAAAATAAAATTATAGACTAGTATCTCTCATGAACATAGACACAAAAACTCTCAACAAAATCCTAGGCAATAGAACCCAATGATTTATCAAAAAATAAAACATCATAAGTAAGCAGGATTCATACAAGGAATTCAAGGATGGGTCATCATCAGAAAAACAATCAACACAATCCACCACATAAAAAAACAAAAGAACAACATGATCATATCAATTGATACAAAAAAGGCATTTGACAAAACCTAACACCAATTCTTGATAAAAGCACTCATCAAAATAGGAATAGAAGAGAAATTCCTCAACATAATTAAGGGCATAGACACAAAACCAACAGCCAACATTATTCTCAACAGAGAGACACTGATAACATTTCCTTGTGAAAAATTAGAAAAAAATGCCCTTTATCACCACTCTTTTTCAACATTGCATTGGAAGTCTTAGCCAGAGGGGAAAAAAAAACATAAAGGTATCTTGAGACCAAAAATTTGAGAAATACAGATCTAAATATACAAATAAAGCAAATTTTCTACCAAATTTGCAAAGGCAAAATAATAATTATTATTACAATAATAAAAATAATAGTATCCAGGGACTGGTAAAGATAAACTGTCATCCTCATATACTGTTGAAAGAAGTTTAAAGTGAGACAGTAATTCTAAATAAAAATATGGCAACACATATCAAAAGCCTTTATTAGTAAGATGCAAAAGCTTGGGATTGGCATTTCTACTTCTTGGAGTCTATATCAAGGAAATGTTAAAGATGTGACAGCAATTATTTTACTGCAAGGCTGTACATTTATAATTCTTTATAATGATATAAACTGGAATAACTTAAATTGGAGATAGAATTCAGCCATGACAAATTATGCTGCATATGAACAACTATTAACTTAAAAATACATTATGAAGAAAAAATTTTAAACAGGTTATAACACAATATGTATAGCAGGAACCCAATTTTATATCTGAAAAATCATATCATTTATAAATGGTATTAACAGGGTTTAGAGTGCCTTATTATTTTTACTTACCTATATTTTTTCTTTAAATTATATTTTTTTTAAATTGCCAGACGTTATAATGCTTTAATAACAGATTTAACAATATAAAGCTATATAAGAAGAGCTCCCATTCCAATCTCCCTAACAACACATCCTTTCTAATTTATTCCCCTTGTGGTAGCCAATGTTAACAACCTGATAACATATATAATTTACATTTTAGCTATTAACCATACCAAACAGACATAAACATCTACCTATCTACTTATTTTTTAAAGTTTTTGTTTATTGTTATAAAAATTGGGTAGCACAAATACCTTGTCAGTTTTCCACTTGTTACTATACCATAGGCACTTCCAGGTCAAAAGATACAGATTTCGTTTCTTTAATTCTAGTAACAGCTGTTTAATATTTTATAAAATATGTATGTACCATGATTTATTCAAGGTTCCTGCTGGATATTCAGGCTGTTTGTATATTTTTTAACATTGCAAGCAACACTGAAATAAACATCCTTGCACACATATTCTTCTACTCTGAGTTTTTTTAATTGATAGACTAGAGTTCCAAAAGTGAGTCTGCTGGCTATACATGTATTTTTAATTGATACTGCCAGATTACTCAACAGCAATGTATAAGATTACATATCCCCACTAACACAACTGATTGGATATAATTTTGATGGTAATTTGTTGTTATTTTAATTTGTGTTTCCCTGCTTGCTACGGAGACAGGTTTTCATTTGTTCATTGAGCATTCCTGGTTTTTCTCCCTCTATCCATATCTTTTGCCCATTTTTCTATTGCTGTTACATGTCATGTAAATATTTTTTCCTAAAGAGAGAATCAGAGTTCACACCATATTCAAGAATAAATTCCAAATGAATTAAAAATATAAATTATCAAAAAAATAAATAAATAAAACAGTCAAACTATTAATAGAAAATACAGAATGTATAAAGTTGGGATGGGGAGATTTTTCTCAAGCAAGGTAAAGAAAAGACATTTGATCACAGCAAAATTAAAAGGTTTTATCTGTATTGTGCCACTTTTTAACCACAAACAGGGATTACTATGGAATAATAATAATAATAATAAATACACACATATATTTAAACTGATAAAACAAGTAGAGAACTTCATCAAACACACAGGTACTAAGTTCATAAAGGTGTACAAACACAATAGCCTTTTAATATTGCTGCTGCGGAAACCCAAGGAGGGGTCGCTATGAGTCGGGGCCAACTCGACGGCACATAACAACAACAACAACAACAACTACCACTACTATTACCACTAGATTACCACCCATCTGTCAGTCTGTCACACTGGGGTAGCCTGAGTGTTGCTGTGATGCTGGACACTATGGCCTAGTGCCTAAGGTGCTTGACTGCTAACCAGAAGGCTGGCGATTCAAACCCACCAGCCACTCCTTGGAAGGAAGGTTGGACAATCTACTTCCATACTGATACCTCCTCAGAAACCCAAGGAGGGGTCTCTATGAGTCGAATCGACTCGATGGCAGTGAGTTTGGTTTTTTTTTTGGTATGCCACTGGTAGTTCAATTACCAGCAGGGTCACCCATGGTGGACAGGTTTCAGGAGAACTTAAAGACTAAGACAAATGAGGAAGAAAGGCCTAGTGATACACTTCTGAAAATTAGCCCACGAAAATCTTATGGATCTTAACAGAGTATTACCTGATAATAAACCCTGGAAGATGAGTCTCCTGGAATATACTACAGAACAGCAGCAACAACAGACTCAAACATACCAATAAACATGAAGATGGCCCAGGACCAGGCAACGTTTCATATTGTTATAAACAAGGTCATCGTGAGTCCAAGCCAACTCAACAGCAGCTAACAACAACAACAACAGAAATAACAGAAGCTATGACTGGCATTTCAAATTCCCAATTCATTGTCTGTATCTTCTTCACCAAAATTATCCCCTCCAGTAGCATATTCACTTTAAGGTGTCCTACACCTAATGAAAGAATCTTTAAGTGTACCACTCAGTACAAGTGCTCTTCTATTTCTATCACATACATGGTAGTTATGACAGTAAAGCCTCAAACAACATGGCACATTTAGTTATTTATACACATATGAGATGGTAAAACAGATGATGACTTACCTAAATGGGGAAACAGATCAGTATCCAACTGATGTTTCTGGGTGCACAGTTTCACCAGTCTCTGCAGTCGACTTATACAAGAAAAGCGTGGAGAGAAGGCTGTGGCTTTCATAAGGACCCGGTCAGTCCTGGGTGGGTCCGTGACAGGAGCCCTACTAGATGGCAGGAGGGGCAGAGATCTCTTATGAGACAACTGCCTTGTTTGTGCTATAGTGTGTGTGGTGGGTGCCACTCCCTGCATTGGTAGGCTGGTGTTCTGAGGTTGAGGTGACTTGCAGACTAAACCCTGCGGTGGCGCTGGAGGTTTCAAAGAAGTGGATAGAGGTGGCAGGTGGGAGTGCTGCTGCGGGGCCTGCTGCTGTGACGGTGCAGGAGGGGGACTAAAGTGCTCTTGCCGAACTTTTAAAATCTCTGTCTCTCTCTGGCGTTGCCGATTCTGGGCCAACTTGCTCTGCAACTTCTTTCTCACAGTTGCCCCTTTCTTTAGGTCATCATCTTCCTCGTTGAAAGCAAATGGGTCTTCTAACTCAGTTTCCAGGTAGTGGAGAGGGACCCTTGCCCCTGGTGGAGAGAGGGACATTCCATCCAGTCCATTGGGCATCTTCAAGGCCAACGTGGGCACCGTCAGGCTAAAGGCCATGGTATCCATCTGGTGCCTGACCTTTACCTCATCTATAGGATCATTCTTTTTCTTCCTCTCTTTTTTCGGGATAAAGCCAAGTACCTGCAAGTGGCTGTTGCAGTACCTTTAAAAATACACACAAACACGGGAAAATGTTCATGTTACATATTAATAGAAGTAGAATATAAAACTATAACTAAAATGCAAATCTTAGTATGCTAAAAAATTTGTGACTATAGTAACTTTTAGTTTTCATGGATTTAATATATGCAACTTCCACTACTCTCAAAACCAAAACCAAACCAAACCCACTGCCATTGAGTTGATTCTGACTCACAGTGACCCCCACTGGGTTTCCAAGACTGTACATCTTTATGGAAGTAGATCGCTTCATCTTCCTCCCATGGAGCAGCTGGTGGGCTTGAACCACCAACCTTCTGGTTAGCAGCCAATTGCCTTACCCACTATACCACCAGAGCTCCTTCCACTACTCTCAAGCAATCCTCAAAGTTGTGTAATTTTGATAAGGCAGATATGAGAATGGTACATGCACAAAGGCAAGTCATTCAGCTGGTCAGTGGCCCTGGTAACTGCCCAGCTATTGCTTCTGGAAAAGTTTTGTTATTCTCTATCCATACGTTACAAAGTAACTCATGTAGAGAGTCTGAAGGATCACTTCAAATTCTCTTATGGAGAAAAATATACATTTCAATGTCAATCAAGTATTTGGAGATTCACAAATATCTTATGATATTACCCTTAAGAATGTTAAGTGTGTATGGTATATTTTATATGTGTGTATACACACAGCATAAATAGAATGGAAGGAGAAAGTAAAGTAATAAAAGTGGATAGCGGGATTATAGATGAAATGAGCTTCTCAAAAGCCAGACGTAAATACATGGATTGTCTCATCTAATTCTTACAATTCCCTGCAATAGGTACTAAAATAATAGGTTTTATACAAACGAGGAAACTAAGCTTTACAGAAATTAAGTAACTTGCTCAACACTACCTGTTATGGATTGCTTTATATCCTTCAAAAAGACATGATGACACAAAACAGAATGAGTATGGATTGTTGAATGGAAAACCACTTTGCTCTGTAAACATTCATTCAAATAGAAATTAAGAAAAAAAAAAAAATAGGTTGAAGTTCTAACCCCCATTAGCTCTGACTATGCTTTTATTTGTAGATAGGGTCTTTGCAAATGTAATTAGTTAACATGAGGTCACACTGGAGTATGGGGGAATATAATCCAATATGGCTAGTATCCTTATAAAAACAGAAGGGAAACAGATACAGAGGAAAGACAGCCCTGTGGCGAAGGGGGTAGAGACTGGAACCAGGCTACTGCAAGCCAAGGAACTTCTGGGACCATCTTACAGACATAACTTGGAGGTAGTATGAGTTTAGTTCCAGACCATCGCGATAAAGCGAATACCACAATAAAATGAGTAATAGAAATTTTTTATGTGCATGGTTTTCCAATGCACATAAAAGTTAGATTCATACTATACTGTAGTCTATTAAATGTGTAATAGCATACGAAAAAATCTGAAATATTGTAAGAATTTGAAAAACGTGACACAGACACAAAGAGAACATATGCTACTGGGAAAATGGCACCAACAGACTTATTTGACTCAAGGTTGCCAAAACCCTTCAGTTTGTAAAAAATGCAGTATCTGTGAAGCACAAAAAACAAGGTATGTCTGTATTAGTCTTCAACAATGTTGTTATATGCCATCATAGTGACCCCTCCTTGGGTTTCTGAGGCACTATCACTACGGAAAACTTCCTTCCGAGGAGTGGCTGGTGGGTTTGAACCACCAGCCTCCTGGTTAGCAGTCAAATGCCTTAGGCACTATGCTACCAGAGGTCCCGTCTTCAACAAAGACAAATTATTTTTGTAACTTAAATGCGATTTTAAAAACACTATAAAAGTATAAGGGAGCTCTGATAACATAATGCCTAAGGCACTTGACTGTTAACCAGAAGGCTGGCGGTTCAAACCCATCAGCCACTCCTTGGAAGGAAGGTTGGGCAATCTACTTCCATAGTGATATCCCCTGGAAACATAAGGAGGGGTTGCTATGAGTTGGTCTGACTCAAAAGGCACATAACAACAACATGAAAGTATAAAGTCTTTTTATATAACAAGAAAAGTGTAAATAGATGTTAGGCCAACAACTACACTGAAAACCCATGGAGACTTTTAACCACTAGATAAGTATTATTTTCCAAACTGATATTCTTTATACAATTTCTCAATATATTAACAAGTAAGCCATTATAAACACTATTTCTTGTGTAAATTCAGAAAATGGTAACATAAAATTAAACAATAGTTTTATTGCTGTTTGCTTCTATTAGACGAGTTCAAAGCATTTTGGATAATTAATGTGCATAACGAAGCTCTAAAGATGTACGTATGTGTTAGTGTTTCCCAAAATTATTTGAAAATAGAACCTATTTTTATTGCAGCATACATATGATATTCCCAATAGAAAACAGTTTAAATAAAAGGCCATAAAGTAAATAAAATATTTATATTTCAAAATCCATTGGGCTTCTTAAAAAAAAATTTATTATTAATTATCACTAAAAATACAGATTAACCAAATAAACAGGACTTACAAAGACCTACACCCTATTGAATTTTGTTGGTTTCTCTTGAAAATAAATCTATCTGAGACATTCCTTTATTTTAAATAGGCCTATTAAGAAGAGGGTCTGAGCTATTCCACAATAGTCTGAACTCTTAAAAACAAAAACAAAGAAACACCTTGTCTCTTTTAAAAGGGAAAATTCTTCTAACTAGAACTAGTACAGTTATGAAAACTATTTAAAACAATTATACAAATATGACTTTATAATCTGTAAGAATACATGTAGAGGGAGTGATTGATAACTGGCACAAGGTTTCTTTTGGGGGAATAAAAATGTTCTAAAATTAGGTTGTGCTGATGGTAGCACAACCCTGTGGATATAATGAAAATTAAAATTAGTAAAGTTGATTAAAAAGAGAATTAACATACAGACACAAGAAACTCTCTTGGCAAATACATACTACTAAAATGTATATAAAATTGGAAATTTAGATTGAATAGATTCATTATTTAAAATCAATTTAATATAGTCACTTAAATTTGGGAAATCAAGGCTATAGCAATGAGACTTAGCTTTCCACTAAAAACCAAAGCCAAACCAAACCTACTGCCATTGAGTAGATTGTAACTCACAGTGACCCCCCCCCCCATAGGGTTTCCAAGGCTGTGAATCTTTATGGAAGGAGATTGCCTCATTTTCCTCCTGCGGAGCAGCTAATGGGTTTGAATCACCAACCTTCTGGTTAGCAGCCAAATGCCTTACCCTCTGTGCCAACAGAGCTCCTTCAGCTTTCCACTATACATTACAAAGCAGACTTTACTTTTTATGTTAGCACTTCCACTAAGTATCCCACTATCCCTATTTTAAGAAGGTGGAAACCTGTAAGTTAGCCTTCATAATACACAACAGGTAAGTCAGAAACCAGAAATTAAGACGCTTCCTCTAACTGACCACCAACCAGGTAATTTCGTCATTAAAAGTCCTTGGGAATCTGTTTTACAAAAACAGTACATAAAGCCACTTTAAATCCCTAAGTATACAAAGAATAACTACATTAACAATAGTGAAAGCTCAGATTCAAAATATTAACCTTTTCTACATTATGCCATGTAGTATAATCATTTACATTTATATATGAGGAGCTCTGGTGGCTCAATGCCTAAGGCATGACTACTAACCAGAAGGTTGGTGGATCAAACCCACCTGCTGCGCCACGAAAGGAAGATGGGGCAATCTACTTCCATAAAGATTTACTGCCTCGGAAACCCAATGGAGTTTAGACATAGCACCACAGAGACTAAATGAGGATTTCTTCAGGAAACATAAGAATATTACATCCTTTTGATGTCCACTTTAACCTATTATCAAACAACCCTGCAAATGACAAAAATATTAATGTCATATGCAGTCATATGGTCTTGAGCCAATTATGAAAAAATATATAGCTTAGTGCTTAGCTCTGGTGACACAGTGGATAAGGAATTTGGCTGCTAACCAGAAAGCCAGCAGTTCAAACCCACCAGCTGCTCTGTGGAAGGAAGATGGGGCAATCTACTTCCATAAAGATTTATAGCCTCGGAAACTAAATGGGATCACTATAAATCTGGATCAACTTGATGGCAGTGAAGTTTGGTTTGGTTTTGGTATTAAGCATAGCTTCTCCTGACTACCAATGCAAATGTTCTTTCCCATTTTATCTTACTCTAAAAAAGAGGGAATCACCTAGAAAATAAAGGCAAAGACAGATGCTTCAGAGGCTTAACATTATGAAACAATTCAGAAGAACTCTCACTTCAATTCTTCCTACTAGCTATTAAGACTAACTTCAGTTCAAATGAAAAGGAAAAAAAAAAACAAAACCAAGATTGACTATTGCTACTGTGATCAACTGAATTTAAGATAAAATTATAGAGCTCTGTTTACATTGGAACTTGACCTGAAGAAATTAATCCAAATCCATCCATTCTTCCAGGAAAAAAAGGAAAGAGGATAAGAGACAAAAAAAAAAAAAAAATTATCATTTTCAGCCTGTTTAAACCAAATTGACCAGCTGTTTAGCCTAATACCGGTTTTCTCCTGCTATTCAAACATATAGCATTCTTATAAAACATTCTGTAAGCCAAAATGGCATAAGGTGAAGAAGCATTTACCATTAATTTATATAGGAAAGATATTTGTGCATTCCTAGACGTCATCAATAATCTGCCAAATCATGCCAAATAACACAAAAAACCTAAAATAACACTAACATACAGTGTTCACAGACACAGTTTAAGCTATGGCTGCTTGATGTTGAGATGCTCAGTGTGGTTCCCAGGAAGGGGACAAGGCTACTTCCACTTGATTGGGGTGTATGCTGCCTCTTCAACTGCTCTCTGAAAACAAATGCTTAACTCTAGTTTTGCTGTATACTTTTTTGTAAAAGTGAAAATCCTTTTTGGATTTCTTTTGGTTAGCAAAAACAGGTACTAATGTTAGGTCTTTTGTAAAAATGAAGTAGCATAAACGGAATTTTTGAAAAGCAGAGGATACCTGCACATAGGTCCTTTTCTCACCTGCTTCAAACTTTCGGGTATTGTCATTTGCAGCCTTAAGTGCTATTAGAATGTCTAAGAGAATGTTCCCAAATCACCACACTGTACTATACTCATTTTGGTAGAATCTCTATCAGCACAAATTATATATTTCATACTTACAGTGTAAAAAGTTCTTATCATAGCCTTAACATATGATTTCCTTTCAACCTACTTACACAGGTACCATTTTCTTATGTAAAGGAACATGGATGAAGGTTGTATGTCTTTGTTTTTGTTTAAAGATATAAATCAAAGTTTCAAATTTCCTAAGAAGCATCTAACTTTTGGAAAATAAGCACGCTTCTCTCTGTAATGCTCTACAACGATCAACATGGTTTTGATGAAGAACTGGAGAGAGAATGAAAAAGACACATGAAAGAAAGTGTAAATTTTCCTAAGAATAAGAAAGATGAATAACCAGTGTGAGATTCCCTCTTTAAAAATACCTCCACATTTATTTTTTTAAAATTCAAGAAAGCATAAATTCATAATTCAAGTTATGAATTAAGCCTACCCTTAATAGAAAAATACAGTCTCTAAATGATGGTGAGCATAATATACGTCTAACTCTTTTTAACCAAGAGGCAAGATTATAAAATAATGCCAAACACTTCTGCTTAGAAGTCTGATAGGAAGTATATTTTCTGAATGATTCAAATAATCATTTTTAATGCTTTCAAACATAATTTAAAAACCCCAAATTTATTGTCATTAATTAAAACACCCAAGTAGTTGCTCATTTAGGCAAATGATAAAACATAAGTAGAAAAATCAGTATCTTCTTATAAAGGCCACTGTTGTTTTTGTTATGTACCACCGAGTCAGACCCGATTCATAGTGACCCTCCTTGGGTTTCCGAGGCAGTATCACTATGGAAGTACAACTTCCTTCCGAGGAGTGGCTGGTGGGTTTGAACCGCCAGCCTTCTGGTTAGCAGTCAAGTGCCTTAGGCACTATACTACCAGAGCTCCTATAAAGGCCACTAGGATCTACTTATACTTTGGGGCTATTTGAGAACAAGGCTGCAAACCAAACAAATCAGGACCAAGACTTCAAATATTAAGAAAAAAAAATTTATAAAAAATTCTAGAATGTCTATAAAATTAATAAAAAGAAAACACTCCAATATACTTTTCAAACAATTCCCCAATTCCATTTTTTAAAAACTAGCATTCTCATCTTTCCTTAGAAATATTCTAACGTTTACTTAGATTCCCCTCAAACTCAACATTTAAATTCACCATATCAAGAAAAGAAAACACAAGGACAAGCACCAAGTCAACTAATTAAATCGAGGATGGATTTCCATTATTAGTTCTTACCTACGATCCTCTGATTTGGGGATGGGGTTGGTGCAGCGTTGGCTGTTATACTTGGCCACATATTCACATTGCTTGAAGGGAGCAGTCTTGTCCTCCAGAACGTGTCTGATACAGAAAGCGTAGCCGTTGAGTCGCCGCTGCTTGCACAGTTTGGGGCTATATGAGCACAAGGGCTTATTGTCAACCTCAGAGAAGTGTATATGTTTCCCTTCATACATCACGTGACTCTATTCCTTGTGAACATCAGCTAAAAAGGCCACCACAAAAAAAGAAACCCAAATGATAAATCAGAGAGTATAAGGCAGATTTAAGCTGAGAATTTCACTGAGGGACTTCTGGCCCCACAGCCATACCTGATTTTAAATCTTCTGCACCATAGCAATGTTAAGAGAACCCCAAGGATACCACAGTTTGGAATGCTGCAGAATCAAGATGAAGCAGATTGTCTACGAAAATATCAAAAGGCCTAGTTAACAAATTGAAATAAGCAAAGCTCACTCACTCTGGAAGTAAAATACCACCGTATCACCTTTCCTAATGTGATGGAGTCTTCATTGTAACCCAAATCCCAATAGTAAGTTCAATTAAGAGGCATTATAAAATATTAAGTTACCTTTCCCAAAGGAATTAAACTAAATAACTTTTACTCTGATTAACAAGTTTTGCAAATACCTCAAAGCTGCAGACTTCTTTCACCAAATAAGTGTCTTAAGGTGGCAGGTCTTATTTCATTATTGGTGATTGCATATTTTCACAACCCAAATCCCTTTGTAGTGATAATGGAATCAACTAGGGACCCAAAATGTCTCTCAGAAATTGAATAGGTTTTTAAAATTATGCTTCTAGTGATTCACATACAACAAAACATGTAATAGTTCATCACTGCTACCTGTACAGCTCAGAAATTCTATAGTTTTTGATATGTTGCAAAGTATTTGACAATTTGTAACAATTCTGCTTTAAGAAAATGCTTTCCTTCTAATATTCCCCACATTTCTGTCATCCAAACTATAAACTTCTTGGGCCCAAAGACTAGTTACCAACCACACTTAACATCCTTCAAGTTCAGTGTTCTCTCTCAATCACACTAAACTTTTGGAGGTATAATAAGAAAATGGAAGGAATCACACAATATTCATTATCACTACACATACAAGGTCGAACAGCAGCATTTACATATTACAACACCATGTAGTCTATAATGAAACTGAATTGAATTATTTGCAAAGTCAGGATTTTAGGGACCTGATGTGGTCTAACCCACCTTCTTCCACATTCCCAAAGTTACCCAACGGCTGATGGAACAGTTTAGATAACAGCTACAGAAAGACTCAAGAAATATTCTTTCGTTTAACAAACTGGATATGAAATCTCTTACACCAGTGAATAACAGGATACAGGAATGCTTGGGAAATCAGGAGACATGGTTGTTCAAGTTCCAAATCTGCCACTTACTGTGCTCCTTAAACAAATTATTTAACCACTCTAAATCCCAGTTTCCTTATCTGTAAAATAGGGATCAAAATAGTAGCTATGTTATCATCAATTTGCTCTAAGGATTAAATAATACAAAGCATGTGACACACCAAGCACTGTGGTAGTACATGGCAGGCACTAGAAAAATGGACGATGTTATTGTTCATAAATTTTTAATCTTATTATTATTGTTACATTCTACGTGCTAGTGGTAATAGTAGAGAATTTATATTCCCCTTAAGAAACATTTGCTTACTCTAATAGGGGAAAAAAAAAGAAAAATGAAACACCTGAAATGTCTGCATGGTTAATAAAATCACATTAATAACAAACTGTATCTAATCACATACCAATGCAAAGCAAATATAAAAGCTTTCTCTTTTCACTTTATGGGATGCATGAAAGAAAAGTTTGACTAAAATGTACATTTAGCTGTCCTGAAGATCTGGATGATCAAGACAGAAAGATTTCAAAGCAAATCCGTGTGGCTTTTCATTTTTACATTCTTTGCCCTATTCGTCAATCTGGCAAACTTTTCACTAATTGTTGTTGTTGTTGTTATGTGCTGTCAAATTGGACCCGACTCATAGCAACCCCTCCTTGGGTTTCCAAGGCAGTATCACTACGGAAGTACATTGCCCCATCTTCCTTCCGAGGAATGGCTGGTGGGTTCGAACTGCCAATCTCCTGGTTAGCAGTCAAGTGTCTTAGGCACTGTGCTACCAGAGCTCCCTTTCACTAATTAGTTCAGGTAAATATACATGAACTTCAGGAAAAAATACCCTGGATATAAGTGAGAAAAATAATTAAGAGTATCAGTTCATCTTTATGAATAAAGAAGCCTATATGTCTATATGTATGAAAATATTTGCCAACAAAGTGAAGAGACAACCTACAGATTGGGAGAAAATTTGGGGGGACCATATATTTGATAAGGGTTTAATATCCAGAATATTTGAAGAACTCCTACAATGTAACAACAAAAAGACAAAAAACCCAACCACCAAATGGAATAAGGACTTGCACAGACATTTCACCAAAGAGGATATACAAATGGCCAAGAACATGACAGGATGCTCATCACCATTAGTCATGGGTGCTGACAGTTGCCACTGATTTTGACTCATGATTCTCCCGTGTCATTCCAAAACCAAAAACCAAACTCATTGCTGTCATGTCTGTTGAGTCTGACTCACAGCGACCCCTCGTTGGGTTTCCGAGTTGGTACCTCTATAGAAGTAGATTGCCAGTCTTCCTTCTGAGGAGTGGCTGATGGGTCTAACTGCCAGCCTTCTGGTTAGCAGTCAAATGCCTTAGGCACTGCATCACCAGAGCTCATGTCATTAGGAAGTTGCAAATCAAAGCTAAAATGAGATACTACTACTTCCTCCCCACTAGAATAGCCATGATCAAAAAAAGAGAAAGTAACAGATATTGGCAAGGATATGAAGAAATTGGAACCCTTTTTCACTGATGGTGGGAATGCAAAATGGTATAATTGCTGTGGAAACAGTTTGGCAGTTTCTCAAAAAGTTAAACCTACAACTACATATGATCTGTAATCTCAATCAGAATTGAAAACAAGAAAATAGAAACTTACATACCAATGTTCACTGAAGCACTATTCTTAATAGCCAAAAGGTAGAAACAACTTAAATGTCCATCAACAGCTGAATGGATATATTATATGTGTGTGTGTTATAAACATACAGTGAAATATTACTCAGCCTTAAAGAGAAATGCTGAAACTTGAAAACATTACACTGAATGAAGTAAGTCAATCTCAAAAGGACAAAATATTCTACGAGCCCATTTATATGATATAGGCAAATAGAGACTAAAGTTTATTAATGGTTACGAAGGATGGCTGGGAGGGGGAAAGGGGAATCACTGATTAGGGCTTAGGGGATGGATACTAGGTGGGAAAATTTAGGAAGGGATAATGGTTGCCAACATGAGGAATGAATGTAATCAATATCACTGAATTGTACATGTAAATAACTGTTGAAATGGCAAATGTTTTCTTTATATAGTTTTACCACAAAAAATGAAAAAAAAATTAGAAAATGTTTTTCTTTGTTTATATTCCTGAACCAATTTAAAAAGCACTATAGTTACTATATTCTTTATAGAAGATTGGCTGGCCTTAGTGCTTTCTTGCACAGTAGCTCAGCCTTTCATATTTATCTGCATACATTTTAACAAAGGAATCTCTTACATTAAATATTCTAAGTATCTGTAATTCTTTCCCATATTCTGCATGCATTCATATATATGTGATATTTGTACTTTCTCCTTTTGTTAATGATTAGGTTTAGTACAGACTTAACTGCTTAATGGGAGCTCTGGTAGTGTAGTGTCTAAGGCATTTGACTGGTAACCAGAAGGCTGGTGGTTCAAACTCACTAGCCACTCCTGGGAAGGAAGATGGGGCAACCTACTTCTGTAGTGATACTGCCGCGGAAACCCAAGGAGGGGATGCTGTGAGTCGGAGTCAACTCGATGGCAGTCGAGATTTTTTTTTTTTAAAATCTGCTTAATATTTTTACCAAATAGTACTACCTCCATTTTTCTGTGTTCTAATTAATTAATTTTTGCTTTTCACTTTGTTAATACCTCCTTTTTGCTTTCTTCCAGTTTGTTATGTTTTTCTAACTTCCTGGGTTGAATTTTTTTTTTCATTAGCAATATATTTACAACTATAAATTTTCTTCTGACTACTCCTTTAACCATATCCCCTAATTACTAATACACAGAATTTTTATGATCGGTATTTTCTGGTTGATTTGAGTTTTTAATTTCTCCTTTGACCAAAGGTTAATTTTTCAGATGATAAAGTTTTATGCTTTCCTTTAATCTATAGCTCTAATTAAGAATAATGTATAATCTTCATATATTATCTCTTCTTTCTGGATTTCGCTGGAATTTTCTTTGGGGCCTAATAGGTATTCTTGTAAAAGAGTATTCATTGTTTCCAGGGCACACTGCTTGATATACCATATATCATGTTATTAATGTCCACTAATGTTGTAACTGGGAGCTCTGGTAGCATAGTGCCTAAGGCACTTGACTGTTAACCAGAAGGCTGGTGGTTCAAACCCACTAGCCACTCCTCAGAAGGAAGATGGGGCAATCTACTTTCGTAGTGATACTGCCTCGGAAACCCAAGGAGGGGTCACTATGAATCGGGTCCGACTCGACGGCACATAACAACAACAATAACAATGTCATCACTAGGGGGCTCTGGAGACACAACAGTTAAGGGCTGAAATACTAACCAAAAGGTTGGTGGTTTGAACCCACAACCGGCTCCATGGGAGAAAGACCTCCAATCTGTTCCCGTAAAGATTACAGCTTAGGAAACCCTAGGGGACAGGTCTACCATGTCCTACAGAGTAGCTATGAGTTAGACTGACTTGACAGCACACAACACTACAAGGAGTACTGCTGTATCACCAAGGAGCTGAAGGCACAATGGTTACGCATTCAGCTGCTAACCAAAAGGTCAGTGGTTTCAACCCACCAGCTGCTTTCTGGAAGACCTAGCAATTTTTTCCTATAAACATTATAGCCTGGGAAACTCTGCAGTGCAGCTCTACTTTGTCACAGAGGGTTTCTATGAGCCGAATTGACACCACCACCTAACAGTAACAATTTAAAGACTAGAAACTGTTGTAGAATTTCAAGTCTTCTTTCACTGTGGGAAACTTTTTTAAAGTCTTGGAAATTTGTTCTGCCAATTTATTCTGTTCTTTTCTTCAGAAGTATCAATTATTGGTAAGCTATATTTACTATATTTCATATCTATCATCCTCTGTTGTTTTTGTTGTCAGGTGTCATCAAGTCGGCTCCAACTCGTAACTACCCTGTGTACAACGGAATGAAACACTACCCAGTCCTGTGCCATCCTCACACTCTTTGGTGTGCTTGAACCCATCGTCGCAGTCACTGTGTCAATCCATCCTGTTG